CTAAAATAACTTTTGTAGATTAAGAACGCAATATAAAATGTTCTTAGTGGAAATTTCCTGATTGGAGGTGACATTTTGAGTACAATAACACAACATCGTTAGTATAACAAAGCAAAGCATCAGCCAAGCTCTTGCAGATGCATTGCTTATCTCCTTCAACCCGACCCTAAGCAGCTTCTGCAAATCCGACTCGCAGTTTACCGAAATCGAACACCGTATGATACGCTTCCATGAAGATTTCCCCAAGAATCCTACAAATGCAGGAAAAAAGGAGAGAAAATTACTATAACAAATATGCATGGGAGCTGTGTATAGAAAGAAGTCATGAGCAGTTACCAGAGAGGTCCCTGGGGAGGCGAAACCGGAACATCCAATCCGATAAAACCGCTGATGCAGAACGTAACGTGATCTTGTTCCACTTTAAGGATGTACTGATCCAATCACAGAAATCAAGACAATGATCGGCAGAGGAAATTCGATTTTGAAGTCACAAACCGAAGGTTTACAGTACCTGTTGCGGACCGAGGTCGAAAGACTTATTCCCGATGACGAATGAAACGGTAGGCATGGTTGGTATTTTGGCACAATCGACAGCTAGTTGTGTTGTTGGATTTGGCAGGGTATCACACAACTTCAGCGGCAAGTTAATCAAAATTTGTTAGTCTGAAGCAGACATTATTATGAGTACTAATGGAGGAGGAGGCATAGGGATTATAGGGACCTTGTTAACATATTCGATTACTTGTCCTTGTGTTTTATCTTGCTTAAGCTCGGTCCGTATCCATGCTACGGTCAACTCGCAAGCAGCACATAAAAGGTCCTGCCCGACTCCGGTGTTGTTGTGCATCTCTGTCTTTTGTTCTACCACCATTTTGATATCATCACTGCACGGATGATTCATATATCTTTGTGTTTATTCTGGTTTTGTAATCGGTAAATCGATCGATGAAAGAAATAAGCTAACCTCAGAGCACGAGATCCGTTGAAGGAACATACACCGATATCGGAACATAATTTGTCAGGCTGTAGCTGTAGAGAGAGCATCAAAGGCATATGAACTACTATAGTCATGAGTGATACATGACATTAATAAGAAAACTGAAGACAAACCAACCCCAGATAACAAGAGCTGCCACATGATATCTCCATGTTGAGAAACTACTTGCTTGCATTCCAGGCTTGCAAATCCTTTCGCTCCGATAGCATCGTTGATTTTCGTCACAGCAGCCTAAAGTTTGACTACCTTGTTAAGATAGCTTGTGCAACAAGTAACCATGCATATTAGAAGATAGCTGCACATACTGAGGGTCCAGCAATGAAGGATGTCCCGGAATCCACTATTGCAGTGCAGTTGATGCAAAATCCTATGATATTGATTCGGATTCGGATATTATCGATTATTAGGCCAATTACATGAAAGGGAAACAACAAGCCATGATAAAAGTATACAGTAGCATTACCTACAAGTTGGTCTGCAATTAAAAATCTTTCAATTCAATCTAGGCGAGGAAAACACTTTTCAGTGAAAATTTGATAGAGAATTGATATTCAAATAAGTGAAGAGAGGAAGTGCACCTGCCAATAACCTCTCCGAACGACCGGAACATAAGTATGCTGTCCCTTGAAGTGCCTAGGATCGATGCCACCGAAGACGATCTCGCCGCCCTCGCTTACCGACGGATCTTTGTTGAACCAGAAAGAGAATACCCTTTCAGCCAGTAGGCTTTGTTGCAGCATACTGTGCCTGCATCGAAAGCAACGAAAACACATCGAATAAGAATGTTAAAGGTGGATCATTGGCAAGCCAAAGAAGCATACCAAAGTGGTGCAACATTCCCCACAGAAATGTCCTGAAACCCAAGTCCAAGTATTCCATCAAAGCTCGCCAAAGTGAGAATAACACTTCCTTCTCTCACAGCTTCTGTAAATACTTGATTTTTGACAACAAGGTCCCCAACTTTTATATTGTCTTCACTGAAAAACCCCAGAATCATTCCAGAGCCATAGTTGATTTTGCAGGGCTTCCCTGGGCCAAAACCAATGAGAAATCAGTTCTTTTACATCACAGTCCATCACCATTCGACCCGGCCTCATCATGTAGGTGTTGGATTATAACACAACACTTATGTACATCTGGGGTAAGTCGAATGTCGATAGTGTGACAAAATTACACTCCACAGATATTACCAATCTCTGTATATGTACTGGAGTTGCTAGAGCAGTATCTAGAGTGGAAAAAACAAGCAACCTGCAAGAAAAAAAGAAGAAATTTTGCTAAGATTATTTACACCAAACATACTCAAACTAAGGTCCAAATCTTAAATCGATCCCTAAACTTGCTATCATTGAAGTCGTGTTTTATCGATCAAGTCGTTCCACCTGCCTACCATCAGCTCGGGTGTCACATGCAGTAGGTGTAAATATGTTTTGAGGTAAGAGCTAACATTTAACATTCAAGCTGATGATTAGAGTGGCTGACGGAAGAACCTAATCGATACTATAATTATTATATGGAGAATCGAATCCAAGTGTTTCGAAGTTGAGAGATAAATAGACTGACAGAGAAATGACAATGGGAGGATGGAATCCAGAGGTTGGAGCTGCCAGTATCAAATATGACAGTGAAATACTGTGGTGGGGAACCGATTCCAATCTCTCCAAAATGCTGAACATCCAAATAGTTCTTCAGGGAAACAATGTTCATCCCTGAATCATCCGAGTCACTCTCAGCATCTACACTGTATCTCTCTTTAATTCTAGCAGCAGCATGCATGGTGTTAAACCCTAACCGCTGTTTCTTCAGACCGAGTCGTACCACACCATTTGAGGAAGAAGCAACAGCCATGCTCATGGAGAACGAAGATGACAGTAAACACATTACCAGTAAAACAAAGTACTTATCCCCCATTGATTACTTACAAGGTATCCTGTGTGAACACCACGGAGTAAGAATGAGACAAAATCAGTGAAGTGTTACTTTAAACAAAAACACAGGAGTGTTTTCCTGAGTCTAAGAAAGCTTGAGGAGGAGGAGGAAGGAATGGTAAAGAAAGGTCCAATGCAGTGTAGCAATGGCGGAGAAAAAGACTGGGGACAGATAGATAAATAAATAGGGTTTCTTTTACGTGTGTGCAGTGGAGGGGACGAGTAGCCGACAAAGAGACGGGCTTCTGAGATAATTCCCTCGCGTGTTATTGTGTACGTAAGTTTTTTGGAATTGTCCACGAAGTTTATTGTGGTGCAAGGAAGTGGGGAACTCGGAAGATGCTTGGTTTAACTTGGTGTAGAGACTAGGCTACAAATTCAATAACCACAGGTGGAAAACGAGACAATTCTCCCATTAGTACACTATTAATTTTGTGTAAGGATTGTTCATAGGAGTCCGAATAGAACATCGAATATAGAGAGAGTTAAATCGGTGACTTTTAAAAAGTAGAAGAGTTTATAAAATTGAACTTAAAATTAAGGAGATAAAAGTTAATTCATCTAATATTTAATTTTATAGAGATTTAAATTGTTATTAGACAAATAAAAATTAGAATGTAAGACGGTTTCACCTTTTCTTTAGTTATATTTGACAATATAGGTGTTCAGTATCTGTATGTTTGAGTATCCGAAATGTCGAGTATTTAATATTTTAGGTATCAAAATAATTAATTTGTGTCCAAATTCATTGAACTTGGGTACCCCACAAGTTTGATACTTGTAAAATTCGGATACCCGCTAATTTGGGTAATAAAATATTTTATACAATTTTGAATGTTTCTTTTATAGACTAATTAATTTTGATTTTTGAAAAATTCAAACGGATAAATATAAAAATTTAAAAGTTCAAATCACATAATTCAAACGTAGATTTTAGAAATTCAAATTATGTATTCTAAAAATAAAATTTTAAAGTATAAATAAAATAATAATTTAATTTAAAATAAAGCAGTAATAAAAAATTAGGTCATGTTTAAGTGGGATTTGTGGCCCCAATCCGAATCCGTAAATATTAATAAACTGAATACGCAATCTGAAAAAAAATTATTAAGAAGAGAAATATAACATTTAAAGGTAAATATCGAGATTTAAATTCACATAAGGTAAGATAAAATCTATAAATGTTTATATAAAAAATGTTTGATAACTTTTTATCGAATCGAATATTTCAAGTCAAGTATATTTTTTTTTAACACCCCATGGCCATTTGGGGTGGAACTTAGCCTGCCTGCAGATGTTAGTAATATCATGTATAGGGTCAAATTCTACAATTCACCTATGTGCTATTCAAAATTTGTGGATCTAGTACCATTAATAAATTCAAATTTAATATTCATATTTTCGAAATGTAGAATTTCGATTTTTCCATTTATTTTTGTTATTAATTCTATTTAAAAAAAGTCATATCATTGATATGTTTATTTTAGTTGATGAAATCTTAATTCGATTAATATTATTGATATGTTTACTTCTAATTGATGGAATCTTAATTCGATTATTTTAGTTCGAGTAGCATTATTTGCAGTTATAATAACCTAACACCGTGAGTCACTACCAATCTAATTAGTTACGAGTTAGAATGGCAATAACTGATCAACAACTAGTTGATCTAGTGAGATGAGATACTAGATCCCTTAAATAAGGTCAGGGGTACGAATTCTAATGTTTGTGAATGAAACAAACTGGATTGAGAGGATCGTTCAAGCTTCTGCGGTACCCAATTCGAATTTGTTGATTAACAAATCGAATTTGTGAATGGCAATAACCTGAAGCAGCAACACTAGCTCAACTTGGAAATGAAAATGAAAACGAGACTGGATTGAAAAGTATTCAAGGAGATATGGCCATTAACAATGTCAACATTCTTAAATATAAAAATCATCAAAAGTATGTATGTAGGTATGTAGGCATGATGCATGTAGGTATGTAGGCGCATGATGCATGTAGGTATGTAGGCATGAGATGTTATGAACCCCAACATCATCAGACATCAAAAGTGATCACATACGCTTACATATTCAGAATACCAAACCCGCTGCAGATAAATTGTTGTGCTAAAATCTCCAGGTTCACATCACTTCTACCGTGTTGTTTTGCTGGACAGTCTCCCTTCTCCCACATGCAGGCATGCATACATAGATGCACATGTGTATATATATATAGTCTCCTCCACCCATGTGCATGTATATATATATCCACAACTACCACTGCTTCAAAGGACAAAATGGAAAAACAAGTACTGATAAATGAAATCTATGTACCAACCACACGACTCATGCCGATGATATTCCGGTCAACAATCCTTTGGATCCCACCAGGTGTCCTGGAATGCACTGCCTAATCTCTTCAAAAGCACACAACGTTTCCGAGTCGAGATCTCCGGCAAACTGCACATTCAGCAGAAGCTATATAAGGAATATGTTCGTAAGCATAATCAGGAACTGTAAAATTCCTTTGTTTTTTTTTCATACCGAACCGACTCTCTAGCGCGTACTTAAAACTAGTGACACAAAAAAGAAGTATAGAATTGTATTTCCGAGGCAGCGATTTGTGTTTATAGGAAAGGGAAACAACTCAAAGATTACCTGATGAGCCCTATTTGCGAAATGCATGCCTTGAAGAAGCAGTGCCTCTCGTGCAGTTTCCTTGTCTAAACTGCGTACCGATTGAAGCTCCGTTCCCACTCTCTTTATATACATTGTGACCAGCTTCATCGAAGCCTGCTTTATCTACAAAAATTACGATTTTTTCACTAACAACGGCTTTTGTGTGACATGGTGAAAGATCAGTTCAAAATGAGCCGAGAGTGCAAGTCATTTTAAACATTTTTCTTTTGTTCACACTTGAGTGAAAAGAACAAAGAGCATACTTTAAATACCATTCCTGAATCAAGCATCCAATCGACCGGAATCTTACACTCCTGATAAGAACGCATTACTGAATTTCTCAGTTTGATAAGCCCCTGTATGCTCTTTTCCGATCTAGCACGATTACAAAGGTGACAGAACCATTCAGTTTCCTGACTAAATCACAAATAAGTCAGATAAACTAGAGTGCAGTTTAGGCAGCCTTTACTTGTCCAGTAGGCCAGCCATCTTCTTCAAGGCACTTCCACAGGGAATGCCAGTGTCGTCCTCGTAGGAAGAAATCTCTGTTTCCAACAATTTTAGATCACGATATTCGATAGCAGCTTCTCTCATGGCATCAGCTTTTCTCTCCGGCCACTTAAAATGCTTTAGCACAGCACGTTCATCGGCCTGTAGAAACAGGACATATGCAATGCAAATAACTCAAATGCGCATCGCCAACATTTTACAACTGTCTCATTAGCATATACCTTTGCTTAAACTTCTTAATATCATGGAAAGATTTTCCATTTTCAAAAAGAAATATCTCCTAATTCAACAAGCCAATTTCTTTTTGCAGATTCTGGGGTGATTAATGAGTATATAGTAGGCACGGAGTCTTAAAAAGGAGATTACCACCGCTACGTATTTTGGCAACCGGGAAAATCAACAAATAGATATAATGAAGAGTTACACATGACTCAAGAAGTGTTAAGACCAATAATGCAGTAAGACTAGAATAAAATTAAGGTCAATATCAAGCAAATAACATTGAGAGCTTTGAGACTTTACCAGGGATGCAAGTTCTTTGTCGAGCCAGTTGATAAATTTCACAACATCTTCTATATCTGTATAGGCTGCAACCAACACTCTGTGGATGAGGCTGTTGATGAATTCTCCCTTTGTTTCGACATCTGTTTTTATCTAGCAAAAGGGTCATCAATTTTTTAACAACCAAATCTTCGGAGGCAACCAACGAAAACAAAATAAACAGTTATATATCTCTAACTCAAAATACTATATGCTTACAGCTAGTAGATGAGCCGAACGGTTCTGAATTTCACCAACTATGCTACTATGCACGCTAACAATAGTGGGTTTTTTCTGATTCCATGCTGCTGCTGCTGAGGGATCTTTTTTCTTTTCTGCCCTTGTCAACAAGTCCACTATAAGGTAATGAGCCTTTGGGGTGGTGGCTCCTTTAGCAGGGAACCGAGGCGGCGGCAGTGGTGGTGGTGGAGGCGGTGGCAGAGAGTGAATTATTGGTGAACCTGTCTTTGAGCTGGCATCTTTTGAAGTCAAACAAGCAGTTTCCATTAATGGCGCTTGAACTATTTTTGTCTCCCTTATAACTTTTGGGTGTTCCAACTTGTTGGCAATGAGTTTCTGAATGTCCTTGAATTTGGGGCTCTGGTACTCTCCACTTGACTCCCTCTTCTTTCAATAAACACAACCGTATAGATGACGTTAGAAATCTTACATTTTCAATAAAGAAAAACTCAGAACGACTAATTTTTTCTGATACATAGCTAAAAAAAAGTTCGAAACTTCAAAGAAATTTGTTCAAAAAAGTTAAGTCTTCATCAAAATCATACTATTTGTCAAAAGCAAAAAAGCAATCTTGGGTTCATATGCAAAATCAAGGATCTAACCTGCAGCTGCACCTGGTCCAAGCCAGGGTGAGGGCTCGAAAGAGCAGCTAATTTGACTTCAGCAGCAGCAAGATCCTCCCTGAGTTTTCTATTAATAAGCTCCAGCTCCATATTCAAGCTCCTTGCACCATCCAACTCAGCCCTCAAACCCTTCATCTGAGCCTGCAAATCTTTAACCAAACCCTCAGTACAACTCAGCTTCTCTCTCAGTCCATCAACACTATTCTTCTTCTCTGTTGAACTCGTGTTTTCTTTAACAACATTAGGACGCCTAGGCCTTCCAAATTGTTCCACAACTCTACCCTTTTGATAACATCCACCCAGTTGCAGCTGGTCCCCAGATTTAGGCTTGGTCTTCATCACCAAACTCTTCCTGCTGCTGTTCTTGGTGCTGTCAGGGAGCACACTTTGGGGCCTTGAAGACTGGTCTTTAGCCTTGGTTCTCCGAGGGTTCTTGCAATGTGGTGGTTTTAGAGTTGCTGTTGTTGGTTCGAGTTGCTTCATTGTGGGGGGATCAAAACTTCAACAGTCTGCGCATTTGCCTGGAAATGCAAGAAAGGAAAGGTGGTAGACTGCTGGTACAAGCTTTGTAAAAGGGTAGAGCAGATATTTTGAGAATTATCTCTTTTGTGTTAGATTGTTGGGTCTTATGGGATACCCGTGGGCGAACGGACTGCCAACCGGGCGGATTTGAATGGCTGCGGAGAAAAAACAAACATTTCATTATACCCACTGTCCGCACTATGTATGTCGACGACATTTTGACAGGTGTGGGATAAGGAACGCTTTTTCTGTACAGGTGGAGGTACAGAATTCAAACATAATAAAAAAAAAACTATAAATGCTTAATGTTTGAAAGTAAACAAATAATATTTTAAATTAAAAACAAAAATATTATGTTGTTTATAACTAATCATATAAATTATAAACATATTTTGATTGTATCTTAAAAAATTATCATACATTCTTAATTGTAATTATTATTAATTATATAACTTTTTTTTAGAGTAAATAGATAACATTTTAAGTTAAATTCCATTGTAATAAAATATTTTTTGTTGTAACTGAAATTATTATTAATTATTTAAAATTTTAAATTGAACATAATAATATTTTAAGTTAAAACTCATCCTAAATTAACTTTAGATTAGGCCAACAGAAACACCTTAAAAAGAGAGAGGTTAATGAGTAGTTTGATGGGAAAAAACTTGTTTGCTTAATTACGCCTCGGCCAAAGGCCTTTTGACATCATCATGCACCCAACAGATGATTTAACAACCGGCATCTATATGCACTCGTAACACTGCATCATCACCTCCATTAATGTGAAATCATTTTCCAACTGTTTGCAGCCGGTTTCTTTCATTCATTACCGATGATAGCATAATTACATGCTCGTGGCGCTCGTGTTATTGATGTTATTGGTACATACGTTTCCTAGGAAGTAACTCATTTGATGAGAGAAATAGAATGAAAATTGGACAGTGACTAAACTACAATGTGATGGTGATATCCCTTGAAATATGGCATTTTTGTGGTACATTGATGTATGTATGCATGTATAGACCCTAATCATACTCAATTACATGCATGTATGAACGTATGCACGTGTAGACCCTATTCATCCATTACTGATGACAGCACAATTACATGCTCATGGTACATACCTTTTCTAGGAAGTAATTCGTTTAATGAGAAAGAGAGAATGAAAACTGGACAGTGACTAAACCACAATATGATGGTGATATATACCCTTGAAACATGGCATTTTGTGGTGCATTGATGTATGTAAGTATGCATGCTAAGACCCCAATCATACTCAAATATAGATTCCGGTTCAAGTTGTCTCATCACAATCTACCAATGTAATGATTGGTTCAAAGTTACGTTAGTGCAAACCTCCTCATTAGCCCTCCTCTAGGGGTTGGTTGGTGCAACATCCCTTGCTAGTGGTAGTTTTGTTAAGCCTTACTTACCTATGCCCCTATGCATACTGACCCGAAACACAGCCCCTTTAACATGAATCACCTTGCCATGATTTTAGATGTATTGATACAAAGTAACAAACGTGCATGACTACATGTTATTCGATAGTTAGTAGAGGAGATTACCGGTTCGGACAATATGGTGACAGTAATCATATTGATTCCTAGTATGAATGATCCACGATCCATGGCCGCACCAGACTATGACCAGGCTAAACACACAAAACAGTCTAAACTTCTTGCTCGGTTCAGCTCAGCTCAGCTAATCCATTTGTGGTTTACTCCAAGTATTCTATTGCATGATTATTATTTAAATAGTTATTTTAGAATACGCTTATCTTTGAAAACATCATTGTCATCATCATCACCACCAGAAGACAATTCCGAATTTCACTCTCAATTTTGTTCTGAACAGTCATGTGAATATGAATCATGAGCAAGTGTCTGCCACCACAAACACAAACAAGACCATCTCAATGTCAGTTCCACTAGTTCCATTCCCCATATTATATTTTGTATCGTTCAACACTCTGTGTTACCTGCTCTTGTGACCGGAAATACATGAAAGGAGTATAATTCAGAAAAATCGATACTCTAGATGTATATATATCAGCATTCCTGAAAATTACAAATATTAATATGTATATATCTCTGACCAACCAATCACTTCAAACTTTCTATTTCAGAAAAATGCATATATCAAAACAAGGCCACGACCACTTACTTCTCTATTTGTCGCATCAAGTGACTTTTGTCCCACAGACCCGCACGTGAAAGGAAGCCCCACCTAAACCAAAGTGTTTCATACTATTTCAATAACCAGTTTCTAATGGTGTCCAATGCATGCAAATAACCCACAATGGAACATATATGATCAACTAATCATAATCTTTTAACCAGTTGGCTCCACAGATATCAGCATTCATGTATTCAACATTACCTCATTTTGTAATTTTCAAATAAGCTGAATCTAATAATCTCAAAACATGTAAGTTCTCCGTCTATGTTTTACCTTTTATTAAACAGCTCTCCATCTTCTAGCAATGGAGCAATCTTCTCATCGAGCCTTTGCATGACAATAAGAAGCTTCTGCATGCTCTCCGTCAGTTCTTGGTCAACCATGTTTGTTGCAGCAAGTGTCTAAAACCATGGAGAAGGAATTAAGAAATTTGTTATTTCACCAACGGAATAAATACCTTATCTGTGAATATATGCTTTACTTTAGTTGCACAGTAAGTATAAGCCCAATATGAGCATGATTTCAGAATGAATAAAAGAAACTTGAGCTGCAAGAAACCAGAGAGAATGTGAATGCTGCTGCCCCTACGAAGATTACCGATGATAAGAAAACAGGTACAAAATATGAATGATTTGCAAAATTTTAGAACGTCACTTTATAGCAACAAGACTGCAGATAGAAGAACAAAAAGGCATTTTAATTAAATGTTTCATTAAGTAAATTATTCTAGATACTGATCACATTGTAGCATGAAGAAGCAGGGATCTAAAATACTAAGGATTACAAGGGGCATAATGTAATAGGATAAAGTCACCTGAGCTGGAAGTCCTTTGATTCGACGTTGCAGAGCCAGCCGTAGTTGGTTAAATAGATCCCCTACAACCTCCTTTTGATTTATAAGCTCTATCACAGTTGCACGATGACCCCGGCTTTGTATTAAAGCATTATACTGTTGATGCATGCAATAAAGACCCTTTTCAGCACTCAGCAGTCAAGGGTTTAAAAAAATGCATTACCACTTATTTTCAAGAACAGATCAGTAATTACTACTACTTCAAGTTCAATGGTAACCATTTTACTTCGCATTATAGTTCTGATTAAATTCATCCTCAATGATTAGTGTGTAAGCAAATCATTACAATAAAATATTGGCACAAAATAGAACTGAAACTTTGAAACCCAAAATTCAGCTCCGATCTAGGAAATATAAAGCATAGTAAAAGAACATTTTCATACCTCTTCCTCCAGTTCTCGACAAATCAATGCTGTTCGCCATCGTAAATGGACTTTGGATTGACTTACATCAGTATAAATATGATCGCCGACATAAAGAATCTCATCTCCATGGATATTTAGGGAATTCTCAACCATCTGAGCACTTCCCCCAGAGTACAAACCGCCTGCAGAAGAAACAAAAGATGAATAAATAAGAAAGCCAAATCATGAGCAAACTATGATTTCGTTTTGGCACACACTGCAAGACACAGAGAAAAATATATTCTATGACTTTGGTTCAGGGTGCCAAACGTGCACTGTCATCAAAAGCTAAAAAGCTCATAAGTCATGGGGAGTAATTTCTCAGCACCCTCAATTTCTGGTTGAGAAGATATTTAGAACAATATCAATTACTCGGTTAAATTTTTAGATATGGAAAATGCTGCAGCTATTATATTGCTCTCAAATACCCAATCATATAGTCACTCGGTGGTTTTATCTCTCTCAACCCTAAAATTTCGCCCATATGCTGGCATCAACGACAACCAAGAAACAGGATCAAAACAGCTAAGGAAAAACATTTTTTTCACTCTCATTTTCTCCTATATAAAATGTTCCATTGTAAATTATAAATAAGATGAAAACATATGTTACAGACAGAGATCACCTGTACGAGCCTTGAAGCATGGACGCATTAAGCCCTCACCGGTCACCACCTCATACAATGGGTGTGACATTTGAAAGAACTCTGGCTTCCTTGCTGAGACTATTACCTATACACATACAGAACAGCAAGGAAGCATAACTGCGTCAATATGTTTGAATGCCATCAAATCAAAACAAACATTGTGCAAGGAGAAGACTATATTGGAGCTATTGTTTTCCCATGTTACATATTATCATCTGATAATTTCCAGGTCGTGAGATCAAAGATTATCAGTTTTCTTAACATGATTTGAAGAAACAAATCTAAAAATCAGTATTCTGGTAAAAACGTCAAGGGAAGGAAGCCAACTGGACTTTACTCAATGGTAAGGCAGAGGCCTAACTATTAGGTACAATTTAAAGTCATCCTAGAATGCATTTGCCGAAATCTTGTTCAAATTTCTCAATATATATGTTGGTTTGTTTCAGTAATTGGTTTTCTCTTCCTCGCGACAAGCTTGTTTGTTTGATAATATTAGCAATGCCTACTAAAATCATAGATGGACAGGGAAGAATACTGAGAATGTAGCAACACTTACCATGTCAAAAAGATCTCGCCAACCAATGTCATTGGGCAAGAATCTATTAAAAGAATGCCGCATCATTTTGTCTGTGTACTGATAATCTGAGTTTGTAATAAGCAGCAATTTTTTACCTGCCTGATCATGAAATGTACACGTAAATAAAAAAATATAGTAGATTACCATGATGAGGCGGATGAGAAGGTAAAACTGTAAAAGAAATACCTCCTTTTGATCCAAAAGTGCTAAAGGTAGCTCTGGATCAGGCTCCACAAATAATTCAGGTTTGGACATTATCTCACTCTGCATAATGTGACCCATCAGGATGAACTCATGGATCACAACGCTAAATGGTCAAACATTCCCGGTTCTATTTACCTTAAGTTGACCTTCTACTTGTGCCCTGAATAAAGCCTTTCCAACAGCCTTCAAACCGAGCAAATAGTCACAAAATAAACACATATTCATCTGAGAGCCAGACGAAATACCACATAGAATAATCTAACTTGTAAAGTCCTTTATAGTCCAGTGGACCAAGATCTGCAGGAATCACTCCATCATCCAATCTGTTCACCATCTGGAAGTAAAACCATATAACGAAGAAATTATCTCTAAAATTAATCAGAAGACTATGAAATAAGGTTCAAATTATTTACACAATAACTGTCTAGTTGAGCAAATTCTTAGCAACAATGCAAGTTGGAACAAAGAGATACTAATGTGGCAATTAAAGATTTTTGTCTCTGTAGGTTATGAGATCTTACAAGCACCGCGCAAGTTCCAATGTAGATACATAGGACACAAATTAAGTACACCAGGAACATTAAAGAAAGTCATAAAATTGCAGCAGGTATGCCATTATTGCTAATACATCAAGAAGGAAAGGAATTCAGTTGTTAAAATTTTACTATGAAGTGCATGGGACCTAAAAACAATTTCTAAGGAAATCTAGATAGTTGTTTGTAGCTTAAACTGGAAGAAAGTACCTGCATATATGCAACAGCTTCTGAAACAGAAAATAATGTATTAAGGAACTCCCATTGACTCTCGTTCCGCAGGTCCACCAGCTCTCTCCCATACATCTCACTTCCAAGCATAAAAAGTTAAGCGCCACTATTGAAAATATTCCACAAATAATGCAAGGGAACATGAAATAATTAGAAGACAACTAAGAAACCGAATAGATTGACAAGAGAGCCATCCATCAGATCAGAAAATGTACTGCACACACAGGTTAGTCTATGAAAGCACAGTAGAGATACCAAGGCAAATAGATCTGGTACCATTTGTCTAGATCATATGTTCCCTACAAGATGGTTTGTACAATTGAAATTGTAGCCACACATTACAGATCCCACATAATAGTTATCAACAGCTAAAGTTACACGGCTCAAATTCGTACCTAACAGCTTGAGTAGATAGCATTTTAGTGCCATGCATGGCCCTTTTCACATAGCCAAACCGATCAGCCTTAACCAAATTTCCATTTTGTTTGTCAATAACAAGGCCCCTAATAACCTACAGAAAACCAAAAGAGGAAAGGCATGTTTAGGGCCATGAAAATATGAGAAAACAATTCAATAAGAAGCTATGAGTATGCTCAGTCAAAAATGAAGACATTACCAAATCAGGGTCGAAGGAAAGTCCCTCAACTGGGAAACCCATATTCTTCAAATTCTCCATGCAGTAATCATAAGCACGCCCTTCCCAAGCCTGCAAATGAACCAATCCACAATAAAATCAAAATAGCCACAAGGAGAGTCGAATCCATTGATGTTGATGAAAGTAGCAACTGAATCTAGAGTGATTTCCAATCTGTATGGATGTCAACTGATATTCACCATCACATTATAGTGTATCAACGTGTAGTCCATGTCATATCCTATTGCACTTATAGACCTAAGATTCAGAGTCCGGCGGCAAAATATACCACGAGAAGAGAACCTTGCTGCTGAGGGACTCTGTAGACCAAAATATGACACTGGTAAGGTTGACAAAAACACCATACCTGCTTCTGAAATAAATCCAACCAATTTCTAGCAGCTAAGAAAGAAATGGAGCCAGCTTAGGAAACAAATTAATTTACCATAAAGCGTCACAAGCAATGATAGAAAGTAACTATACTAGAAACTCTATGTCAAGTTTAAGTCAAAAGAACCCGAGAGTTCAGTAAGACTTTAAGTTAAAAGAAAAAGGATGGATATACAGCACCGTAATACCCAACTCTCTGAGTAAACCCCCAGCCTCCTCTGCCTCCAACCTAGCTACCTGTTCAATTGGACCTTCTAAAGTGGCCTTGCCATCAAGCCCTACAGTGGTAAAAAGCAAAACCCAGAAAGATACAGTATAAATCATGATCACGATCATTGTTTAAAGTAGAGAAAGAAAAGATTTTGAAAGATACCATTTGTTCTACGGTATGCATACAATTCAAAGCTAAGTGACAAACCAGAACCAAAGCAACCAAATGCTAGGTAAAAAGCGTAGAAAGAATACCGAAAGTCTCAAGATGTTGCAGGTTGACGTTTAAATCGCCCTTGGTGCTTTGTCCCAGATAATCAACATCACATTCGCTGGAAGAAGTGAGGGAGAAAACATCATCCCCTACACGGGTGCTACTGCTATTGCTACAACCACACTTGAACACCATTTTTGGAGCTCTCGTAGCTAAACATTTAGGAGAAAAAATGGGTCTTGGGAATGGGTTTTAGAGATACTGAAGATTGGCAGCAGCCATTGCTAGAAACTGCGAATTTGGCCAAAGTAAAATAGCTTATTCAGGTATCTCTTGGACTCAAAACTCAGAGCCGAAAAGGCCCGGTGCTTCCAGTGTATGTAATGAACAATAAAAATAAAAAAGCTTTCTTGGTTTTGGCTATTCTCCCGTTCCAGATAGACACGATGGATGATTTCTGTTCAAGCTCAATCAATCCTTTTCGTTCTGTATATAAAAAAATCAGGGTCAAGTCAACCACAACATGAGCGTTTTAGGTGGCGTGGATGTTACTATAGAATTGAAATATGCGAAGTAATTAAAATTTGTAAGATTTGAAATTCAATTTTATATTTTGTTTGGTTGGCAGAAAATGAAATTAGAATTTAATTTCATATTAGGTTTGGTTCGCAAATATATTAGATTAATTTGATTTTAATAATATAAAATGACAGAATTATCTTTCTTATTTTTTTTATTTTAGTTTATTTTACAACATATATATAGTAATATATTATAAAAAATTAAAAAATATTAAATTTTCATTTTATTGATTGATTATTCATTTCAATAAATTATAAAAATTATAAGTTAAAATCATCGCAATCAAAATACGTTAATAAGTTACCAAAAGATAGAGTAATATTTCGATACATTCCAATCGGAGTATGTTAATTATTTACAAAAAATATACTAAAAACTATTTTTATTCAATATATAAATTAAAAACTCGACCCGACACGACTCAAAATAATAATAAAAATATTTTTATTCAATAAAAACATTGACTTAATTGAAAAAAATTATATATAAAGGGATATTATTGTAATTATTCCTAAATATATAAGGTAAAATTATATATATATTTTGGGTCGGTCCCTTTTTTTCACCCTAAACCCGACACGACCTGACCCGAATATAACACTTAAAAAAACCCGACCTGACTCGACCTGAATATCGCACTTAAAAAATCTAACCCGACCCGAACAAAATAAAGTTTCATCCGACCTGACCCGAATATATGAATTAGAAATCCGACCCAAAATAATAAACAATTATTTTTATTTAATAAAAATAGTGACTTAATCCGACCCGAATTATATATATTTTCGGGTCGATCCGGTTTTTTTAACCCTAAACCCAAACCCGACCCTACCCGAATATCACACTTAAAAAACCCGACCCGGCCCGAACAAAATAAAGTTTCATCCGAACCGACCCGACCCGAAATAATAAAAAATTATTTTTATTTAATAAAAACAGTGACTTAATCCGACTCAACCTGAATTATATATATTTTCGGGTCAGTCCGGTTTTTTCCACCCTAAACCCGACCCTGACCTGACCCGGCCCAAATATCACACTTAAAAAAACCCGACCCGACCTGACCCGAATATATGAATTAAAAACTCGATCCGACCCGAAATAATAAAAAAATATTTTTATTCAATATATGAATAAGTTACCAACTGATTGATGAGGGTAGTATGGTCAAATTTCAATTCTCTCTAACAAAAGAATTGAATTCCATCAATTTTTGGATAGAATTCACTTTCCCTCATTTGATGGAATTGAATTCCATTCCAATTTCCTTAAAAAACTTGAACCAAACATGAAAAAGTGGTGAAATTGAATTCCAATTCTCACCGATTTCAAATGATTTCATCCAACCAAAAGTCACATAGGAGATGAATCAGTGCTTGCTTTCCTTTTTTGTACTTAACTTTTCCTTAACCATATTAACGTTTGGTAGGAGATGAGAAATACGTCCTTAACAAGAGAAAATGTGCTATTATTAAACAAGGGTAAACTATACACTTAATACATCAATTATCAATTTTGTTTTATTTTAGTCACCTAACTATTTGTTTTTCAAAAGCATATTTGACATTTAGTTTTAGTTTTATTTATTCACCTACCATTAAAGAATTAACAGTGATATTAAGGTTGAATCATAAAATGATTTTATATCATTATTTTAAAAAATACCATAAGAAGAAGAAAAGTTTTTTTTTTAATTGTCAAACCAAACATTTATTAATATGTTACTATGAGTTAACGGTCGAAGCATCAAAATCTAATAGACTGATAACATAAAGAATTAAAATTGCTCTTTTTTTTAATTGGTGACCAAAATTGGATAGACCAAAAACGTAAGAGACCACTCGTGTAGTTTACCCATAATGTAATTAGGAAAATGGAAAATTGTAAATCAAAGGAGAAGAGAACTTAGCATGAGCCGAAGGCTTAAAACGATGCGTTTGCTCTTCAGATTTCGATTTATCTAATTCTCTATGTTGATGTATTGCGCACTGCTCGGTTTTTAGATTAGATTCTGGATAGAATTCTTCCGTTTCTTGCCCAAAAGATACACGTAATTATAATTTAGATAAGGAAGAAGAAGAAGAAATGGCGACGGTGCTTTCCGTTCACGATCGGCGAATATTGACGGCTGTGAACAGTGGAGCATCGAGTCTTTCTTTCGTCGGATCCGGCTTCATCGTGCTCTGCTACTCCCTCTTCAAGGAACTTCGCAAGTTCTCCTTCAAGCTCGTCTTCTACCTTTCTCTCTCTGTAATCTTCCTTTTTTATGCCTTTTTTCTCCCTCAAATTCAAGATTTTGTTTTTATCAATACTCAAGTAGTTACAACTTGGAACTAGTTGTTTTGTTCATTGTTAAAGAACCGTATAATGTACTGGATTAATAACTTCGTTAAACTTGTAGATCACGATTGAAGATCCAATTTATGTGTACAATGCACGAATTTAGGAAAAGGAAACTTCGGTCATTCCGTTGTTACAGTTTTATTTTACTTTGCTATACATTTCTCTAAAACCTCTTAACTGATCTGATAATTTTGCCCACTTCTCCCTTCGTTTCCTTTTCTGTGTCGGTGCAGGACATGCTTTGCAGTTTCTTTAACATGGTCGGGTATGCTATACATTCACCATGCAATCAATTTCCAGTTGCTTCTATTTTGTTCTATTATTTTATGGGTACTTGGGACTTACCCATGTACTAAAACGAAATTATGCATGCATGATACGAGTCTGTTTTTGCAATGCAGAGATCCGTCAAAAGGCTTCTTTTGTTATGCTCAGGACTACACCACGCATTTCTTCTGTGTTGCTTCCTTCCTCTGGACAACAACTATTGCTTTTACTCTTCATCGCACTGTTGTTAGACACAAAACTGATGTTGAAGATTTGGAGGGAATCTTTCACTTGTATGTTTGGGGTATGATAATATATTTGTTTCCACACAATTTTCCGTTTCTTCTTCAATATCTTACCACACTGTTTAGCCTTACTTGCAATGTTCATGTCTTCCTGTTTCTATTTTTACTCTGTTGTTACTGCTTCAAACGTATCTATACAATGGTGCTTCACACTTGCCATTTTCTTTTCATCTTCCTTGCTTACATCATTCCTCCTCCCTCCTTAAATGCTGTTAACCAGCTTTTTATATGGACTTCGATTACTTCTTGCAGGAACTTCACTCGTTATGACTGTCATACATTCTATTGGTAATAACAACACACATTTTGGGGCATGGTGTTGGGGACAAACAGGTCGCACTGGAAAGGCAAGTTAAAATTAGCACTCTCTGGCAGATTGCTTTTGAGTTGTTGTATCTTAACAATCGTGTATTATATATTCTTCTATACATTTTAATTGAGCATGGAACAATAGGGTCAACAAAAAACTTTGACCTGTAATTATCCTATGATAGGTGTAGCATGATTTCTTAGCATTCTTGAACTATCTGACATAATTGGCATATCTATGCAGGCAGTTCACTTTATAACATTTTATGTCCCACTATGGGGTGCAATTCTTTACAACGGTTTTACATACTTTCAAGTGATACGCATGCTGAACAATGCCACTCGTGTATGATTGCCCTTGTCTTTATCAATTTTCATAAATTTGATCTGATATGAACTAGTGCAATTTTGAGGTCATGTGTGTACTATCTTTGCAAATGTTAGATGGCAGTTGGCATATCAGATCGTGCATACCAGTTTGATTCAAGGACAGACACAAAGGTAATTACACTTTCATCAGAGCATATGATAGATTTGAAGTCAAAGATATGAAACACACAAATCAAATAGAGTTATTCCATTTTGTTGCTTTGACTGCTTGAATGCAAATGCCTCATCATTCATGCATGTTGTTCACTACCTTGATTATTATCTAGTGTAATCGTCGATTGTTGCTATGAATCTGATGATTACATGTCTTCATTTCAGACTGCTATGTAAGTACAGCTCTTCTTTTTCAGGTTTCTGATCTAGTTTGAAATAGAGCCGAATGTAGTTGTTTCCTGCTTTCATGATTCTTACTGCTTTTTCTACTTTCTTTGAGATTTCCCTTTGAAAGTCATAGGTGTGTAGTTATCCGTTCGAGTAAACTTGTTTCTGTTTCTTTCCCCTGTTGCCTTTAAGCATTGTTAATTAAAATTAAGACTATTTGTCATTGATTTTCTTTTCCCATAGGCTCTGAACCGGTGGGGTTACTATCCACTAATCCTAATTGGATCATGGGCATTTGGCACAATCAACCGCATTCACGATGTTATTGAGCCAGGCCACAAGATTTTTTGGCTCTCATTTCTTGATGTTGGGACTGCTGGACTTATGGTAATGACTTCTGAAAGACTGAAACTATGAATATGTATTTGCATACGTGTATATCTGTTATTTGTTTGTCAGTAAGGGAATTATATCTCACTTGCAGAACAAGTTTTTTTCTACTACATATCGTGAGCAAAACTGTGTTAGAAAGAATTATTTTTATTTCACTTTGGAAACTAATCCAAGCTTCCAAGTAATATTTTTGGTGAAAATTTTTCCTTGGTTATTATCTTATTTTTTTATCAGATATTTTGCCATAGCCAGGCCCGAGTGGATGATTGTAGGTTGTTTGGAAGTGGAAACCAATTTTTTTATGTGTAACTTGTTTGATCCTCTAAAGTGCAATTATTATCATTAATTATTGGCCATTAAGTTCAATTAATTTAGTGTTGCATAAAGAATGAAGTGCCCGTTCTTCATTTTTAAGCTTATCTGAGAATTTGTTTGTGCTATTGTTGTCTGTAAATTTTAGGGCCTTTTCAACTCAATAGCTTATGGCTTGAATGCTTCAGTCAGGCGAGCAATTTATGAAAGACTGGAACTGTAAGTGGCAAATTCTGAATCTCTTATATTTTCTTCAGAAATTATACATTCCTCAATAGGATCTGGCTGGACTTTTCCATGTATAATATCAGACCACTCGATACATAAAACTAAATTTGGTCCATAGATAAGACTAATGATTAGTATGAGGTGGTTACAAGGTAGTATATGTTCAAAATTCTCTCAATCAATTGACAATGAACACACACACATCCTGCAGACGCAGCTGCTCGAACCTGATTCCTCTAGGGAGAACAACACTCCCTTAACCGTTGAAGTCGCTTGATGGGTTCAACTTTAAACATTTAAATGATAGTGGCATCTCCTCTAGGTCCTAAAACATTGGATATCTGCTAGGAAATATGATAGAAATCTAAAACCCTTTTATCAGTGGTAGTTTCTCTTTATTTTTCGGTATTGCTACTTTTGCAATTGTTATTTTCAGTGGGGGAAAAATGAGTTAATTGCATCCTTTACCAGGTTTTGGCCAGAGAGGCTCCAGAGATGGTTCCCTAACAGTTCAAGACAGAGAAACCAACAGCAGCAGAGTGAATTGGTCTCCCTCAAAATTCAGGACCAACAATAGCTGGCATTTGGACGTTTGCCTATACTGAATCTAAAACCGTGTTTCTAGCTTTGTCAATTTTTGTTGATATTCTTTCTGTAAATTGTTACGAGACATTGAAGCTGGCATCCAAACGAAAGCCATCATCGAATCGGATCATTTCATACCTTGACCCTTCACAAGACTGGTGTGTTGTGGATAGGCTATTTAATGCAGCATCTGTACTGTAATTTCGAAGCAGACGGCGACCACCAATGGAACCATTATATTCTTTTTAGCTGGAATCCCTGTCCTTAGTTGTTACTGTTAGTTGATTGGTTAACAATTTTGTGAAGTTGAAGTTGTTCATCGGTTCAATTTATTATTCTTGTACGATTCCAGCGCGATGTTGTCATCAGATTCTGGTACAAAATTGTTTACAAGGCATGTATGCTGCTAATGAAGTTCTTTGTGGTATTTTGTGCTGATGGCAAGCTATTCCAGGGTTTCAGTAGAAGGAACCCTAAGTTACATACCATGCATTAACCAAAGCTGAGAAATCATGCTATTCAAGAAACAATTTAGCTGCTTCTCTCATTGCTGCTGTATTGAGTTTATAAACACTATGGTAAGCATATGGACGTTGAAATGGATCCGTGATGCTGTCATTATAAATCTTGTAGCAGTAAACGTTGCTTTTTACTGAAAACCGAACAAGGAATTTGAGTGTTGAGGCTCTAATCTCTCTAACTCGGATGTGTCTGTAACCTCATTTTATTTAATTCAATGATAACCAAATTGATAAAATATATATAGATTAAAGATTAAATGTGTAATTATACTAATATTTTTAATTGTTACGTCAACTTTTGATTGCAACACTTAAATAGTTAAGTGATTTCACCGAAAAAAATAAAAAGATTAATAGTCAAGGTGGTCAAAGTGAAAATGAACAATAATTAAGTGGTCGTATAGATATAATTTATCCAAAAATTTAAAGGGTAAAGTACACAAATAGTTTCATGGTTGTAGGACGTTGTTTTGTTGAGTCTTTCGAGTATTGAAAGTTATAAAATGATCCTTCGACTATTAAAAATTACAAAATGGTCATTCGAGTATTCATATGTTTCAAACTCATCATTTTTTGTTAAAAATAAACGAATGTTTGAGTGAGACAATAACGTGCTGATTGAGATATGATTAAATCATATTTTAATGATGTCTATTGGCATTGCTTTCAATCACTGGCTTGACGGCATAATATTTCAAGTACTAGCTCAACGATATAATGTAAACGGAGAATCGATACACAAAATACAACTCAAACGGTTCTAGGATCATATTTTATCATATCCTAATCAACATATTAACTTCCAGCTCAGAAGGACGCCAAATTTTTAACCGAAAATAATGAGTTTTGAACATATAAATAGTCGGGTGACTATTTTTTAACTTTTAATAGTTTGAGAACCCAACAAAGCAGTGTCCTATAGTCAAAGACCATTTTATAAATTGTAATAGTCGAGAGATTAAACAAAGTCATTTGTGTCCTTTACATAATTTTAAATAGTTATCAAACAATAAATGAAAGAATCACGGTGAATGGAAGAAGTATTCTTTTTCCATTTCAATAAACAATTATATACCCTAGAAAAGGGGATTGATGTTCATGGTATGGACAGTAGATCTCACAACAGACATTTATATATGTCCATGCCCCTCTTCATAAGCCGGTCGTTTTACTAACCACAACCGGTGCCAGCTTAGCTTCTCAATCCAAGTTCTACTGATCTGCTCACCTGGTTACCTACTTCCGCACGTATTTGATAATTTTACCATTCCAATCTCGGTATACCATATCTGCAATCCTAATTAAGATGATATGATTTCATTACACGTAAAACATACGCTTTTAATATCTTTTGTCGCCTGCCTTTCTCTTTTTATACATTCTCTATATCTGTATTTATAAATAGTGTGTGATAGACCAGCCAATTGGGGAGGTTCGAAATCGCTAAACAATCTGGTTTGGTGATTTCCTCCTCGATCCTGTCTTTCTATAACATTCTATATAATCTTTGTGCCAAGTCCTCTTATATTCTTGTAGTCGCGTTTGTATTCTGATTAAATTTGAAGTCGACGAAATTGGATCTTCTGTTAGTATTGTTTTCTTCATCTACAAGATTCGAGCCCGACCAATGGTAAAGGGAGGTAATATGGTAATTATTTTGAATACGTGGCATGCATCATATTATTACTTCGGACATGAGACATATGTCATGTCATCATTTTAGACACATTACATATATCATATAATCATTTTAGATACATAAAACTTGTTATGTCAGTAATAAGTATTGACCATTAACATATGTCAAAAATAAAAAGTTAAAAGTGTCAAAGAAAATATGGATTAGATAGTAATTATTGGGTCAAACTATATAGGATTTTTTTGGCATTATACATAGATATAAATATATATACGTTGCTTTTGCATGCATGCATCCAAGCATTCTCCGCCGCAGGCATATAATCATCTCAATATTTGCAGATAAAGAGAGAAATAGCCATCTTGAAGCTGCTCAAACACCCCAACGCGGTTCGCCTGCATGAGGTATTACTATTATTCATTTCTCTTTTATATATATATATATATATATATATATATATATTCTGCATTTCCATGCACGTTAAATTAGTTATATATCAGCTACTGAATTCCTCTAACAATGCCCCATATTGCAGGCCTTGGCAAGCAAAATAAAGATATACATGGTCCTAGAATACGCAACTGGAGGAGATTTGTATGGCAAAATTGTAATTAAGTGACTTGAATTCCTAGGGTTCCCTACCCTTAATCTGCTATAGCATTCAATTGTTTACATTGCTTTAGCTTGTTTGATTTTGTATACATCACAGTCATCCAAAGGGAAGCTTTCTGAAGCTGAAGGTGTTAGAAGCATAGGTGGCACTCGGTAATTTTTATATCTCGCACAATAATATTAATACGAACCAAAATACAAATACGATGCAAACACTAGCTATGGCTAGTTTACAAACACTACCCCGCTATTAAAAGCTTTACTAAGCTTCACAACCTATCTCTCATTTTTTCACTCTTATACATTCATATATCATACGATGCATACATCAACCATTAAGCCTATATATAGGCATTAGTAAACGACTATGTTTGCTTCTGATTTCTTCTTGTATTGCTACCTAACATTGTTGCCTCATCTACTTCATTGTTAAGCATCAATATGCTACTGCCAAATCATTACTATGCATGTTGCCTTCATTTCAATTCTCCAAGTAGATAGTCATGTCCAAGTAATAATTCACATGCTAAAACTTGCTCTTACTTACCCGTGTCAATTCTTCTTTTGACTTTTCAAACTCTGATGCCATTATCCATTCTTAATTCTTAACAATTAAGAATTTCATATGCTGCTGCCACATTGCTTAGTCATGTGATTATTATGGCCTTTTGCCATCTCAACCCTTTCTAAAACTTTTGCCATCATCCATAATAGAATCAAGTTTGAATTCTAACAGAAGGAATGAAGCTCCTCTAGTGTTGATCGATGGCGTTAGTTACTGTCACGACAAAGGTGTTTTCCACAGAGATCTTATGGTTAATAAAATCAGCAAAGATGTATATATAATGTTATACCTCTGAGATGATACTCGAAAATCTCCAAATCTTCGTTAAATCGGACTCGTTGAAACTACTAACATTTCATCAGCTAAGATCTCCAGACATACCTCTCTACCTCCCTCTATATGATCCCCCAACAAGCCTACATGGCTACATCTTCGAATGTAGGATTCCTAGTTAACTACACTATGTAGACAACACTCCACACATGCCCACATGACTTATCAGAGTGTAATTCAAGGTCTGACAAATCAAATCTGACTCGTTAACATACAAATAGTCATAATGATTATCAACCGACACGTACTAAAGATAACTATAAATATCTCAACCTAAATATCTCAACCAAGACTGAGAAAGAGGCTAGGAGCCTAGGACCCTCACAACCTATATACCATATTATTCATCCTCCATGACCAACTCTCTTCAAGACAAAAATATCAGTCAATGGTTGTTCTCTCTAAGGCCATGACTCTCCATCCAAATCATGATGGTCTTTTTACCTTAAAATGTAATGTTAAAAGCTAAAATACTTTAGAGAAAAAAAGAAGAGAAGTAACATGATGCCAATGAAATTTGATTCGATCTTAGATGAATGAGAATAAAGTCGACCTATTACGACTAGGATGATTGAGCCCTGTAGTGATAGAACTTGGTGAATCGAGTCAAAGTAATTATTTGATCAAAATACTCTTAAAAATGTAAGAATCAAAATAATCATTTTGATCAATTATAGAAGTTAATTTTGGAATTACAATTTGATAATGATAAATTAAAGAATGGGCCGGACTCAAATGGAGCCCAAATGCCCCCACCATTAAAACCCTAGAACTAGGAAATTCAAACAAACATAACCTTGATTGTTTTAGTTAGTGAGGCACTGTGATCTATCTTCTTTCTCATTGGCCTTTACCCAATGCTTCAATTGTCAATGGTGGACGCTCTTAATCGATAACTAGTAATAAACTGGATCATTAGTTGGTGTTTTTCTCAGTGTGTTGAACTCACAGGCATGACGGCCTTATCGACCAGAGGCCTCGTTTCACATCTCCACCACCACCTCCGCTCTCTGTTAACGCCATCCGCCGCAACCCCAACGCCCCTCCCTTTTCATGCCTTAACTAGAAGACTCTTCAGCTCCGATGCCTTGATGGATGACTCTCAAATCCTCCATCAACAACCCACCCGAATCATTACGGCCACCCCATCGGTCATGACCCCAAACTCCAAGAGAACGGGGATCATTGCTGTCAAGTGCGGCATGACTGCTCTTTGGGACAAATGGGGTGCTAGGTTACCCATTACTATTCTTTGGGTCGATGACAATATCGTCTCCCAGGTCAAGACTTTTGAGAAAGAAGGAATTTTTGCCCTTCAGGTAATTCATTCCATTTATTTAGCTATAATTGTCAGCTACCTGACTATTACGATGTTAGTCGAATCATGGCTAAACTGTCAGTTCAAGTGATTCGATTTGTGGTGTTATACTTTTAGATTGGTTGCGGCCACAAAAAGCCTAAACATTTGACGAAGCCTGAAGTGGGTCATTTCAGAGCTCAAGGTGTTCCTTTGAAGAGGAAATTGAAGGAGTTCCCCGTCACTGAAGATGCTCTTCTTCCCGTTGGTACATCCCTTGGCGTTCGCCATTTTGTTCCTGGACAATATGTAGATGTCACTGGAACTTCTAGAGGGAAAGGTTTTCAGGTGATTTAATTGATTATTTCTATCGTTTTCCCTTTTGTTATGATTTAATTGATGAATTCATTTTTTATGTTGTTAGCTCCTAGTTATGAATAGATTCTGTTCCAGTTTTTAGCTTTAGCATGTATTCCATCCTCGAACTATTTGTTTAGAGAGAGACTCATAGAGCTAGCAATGGCAGTTCAGCTGCTTTGAGAACTATTTACAGTATGAAATTTTTTAATTGTGATTGTGCAGAAAGAATAGTCAAATTTACTAATGATACATGATTTGCTTGTCACTTGTAAATCCAGTGATGTTGATTTTGGCATCGAGAGTGTGCATGTCAATTTTTCTCATGTTCTACTGGCATAAAATATATAAAAACTTGGGCATGATGAAGTTGGTATTCATTTGTCACTTAAGCAATCGAATGTCTTGTGTTTCTTTTACTTGCCCAGGGTGGAATGAAAAGGTGGGGATTTAAAGGAATGCCAGCATCTCATGGTGCATCATTATCACATCGGAGTATTGGTTCTACTGGCCAGAGGGACGCTCCTGGAAAGGTTTGTATAGCTGGTTTTTAATTTGCAATACCTTAAATGTATTCCGGAATACTTGATAATTCTGGGGAATGTGAGGCTTTCGTATTTGAGCATTATTTTAATGTAATCCCCCCCCTTTTGGTCTATATACCCCTAGATAGACCCTGGCCTATATACCCCTAGATAGACCCTGGCCTACACAATAGGCAATAGCATTGTACTTGAGTACTGTCTTGGTTATCGGAATCCTTTCTACTTCAGAAGTTCATTGTTTTGCCTTGTGTATGCTTTATGGTGTGGTCAGATGATGATGATGATAACTTAAGCTTTAATGAGAAAATATCTTGAATTCTTGAGTACATTCTTGTTCATCATAGAAATTGCTAGTGGAGCATCTTTTTAGATGTTTAAGCATGATCAGAATAAATGCAAAGATATGAATAAGTAATTATTTACCTTTGCATGTATTGATTCCTTATTGTTTAAGCTTTGGTATTCTTCAACTTCAATCAATCATGTTTATTTGATTGATTCATTCCTGTAAGATGATTTGATTTTTCCCTACACCTCTGACTATTCTGATGATCATTTGATTTTCACTTCAGTGATTTTTTCAAACACACCGAAGCAGTTATGTTTATTTGAACTGATAACTTTATCATTGAAAAAATACATCGGGCCTGTTACAGCGTTCCTTGCGGGATTCTATTTTTATCCATGTTGATTGGATAGATTCGATCTTGCAATGTGAATTTGTTCTGCATGGTTCTTTTTTCTATAGACCAACATCTCTGTTCGAAGTATCACTTGATAATCTTTGCTGATGTTTTTGACTTATGTAATTAATTTTGGGGAAAAAATGGTTTGCAAACTGTTAGTTGATTACTTCTCGTTCCGAATTACCAAGTCATTGATCAATGGTGGGTCGCTTGTTGAATTTTGGTGTACAAATTGATGTGGCTTTACTGTAATTTTGCACGGAGGGGATCAATGACATTAATGCCTTGTCAGCCTAATCTCATTTTTTTTTCTTTTGGTCTCTAGACATAATATAACTGGTTTAGTTTTGGGTTTATCATTGGACGAGAAATAAAGTATCCCTCTCGTGTAATCATTTGATTATGTCTTTACCATGTGGAGTGCCCTTGAGTTATAATCCATAAACAATTATTGTTATGTAGGTCTTTAAGGGGAAAAAGATGCCCGGGCGCATGGGTGGCAATACGAGAACGGTTAAAAATGTGTGGGTATACAAGATAGATCCTGCAAGGAATTTGATGTGGGTGAGAGGTCAGGTATGGTTTTCTTCTTTTAAGTGCTTAGACGTTGTGAACTGAAAAAAATCAGGTGGCCTTTACAAAACAGTTGCGAGCTTCCGATGTTTGTCTTAAAAGTATAGGACCAACCACTTCCAAAGTAACTTGTGAAGCATCAGAAGTCTAGCATCTAATCTGTTGCATTCTGTATGGCTTTTTATCAGCAGTATCGTTTAGGGAATCAGTTATTGTTTACAGGTCCCAGGTGCTGAAGGGAACTTTGTCTTTATAAAGGATTCCGTTTACAAGAAACCCGATGTCTCAATTCTTCCGTTCCCAACGTTTTTTGCCTCAGAAGATGAAACTGATATAGAACCCCTAGTTGCTGATCTTGGAGAGGTGGATCCATTCATGATAGCAGATTGACGGGTGGCCGATTAACTTACGGAAGCGTAAGAATGTAATACGAGATTATGGTTAATAGAGTTGAAGATTGATGTATGAATTTTTGAAGCAATTGATGACCATTGATTTCTCTGTAACAGGAATGGAGTTGTTTTAAATAAATGGAAGGGAATGTGAGAATTTTTGGTTTTTGGAGGACAGACATAGACATAGGGCATTTAGATATAAGATAGCTCTTGATAGCATCTTTCATTTTACACATTCAATCTTACTCTCTATTCCTTGGTTCCTTTTAACACTCTTTTCTCCTTAATATCATCTCTTTGAAAAATAATATTATAAATATATTGTACAATTTTAGATATATTTCAACTGCTTAAATAAAATCATAAATCTTTCTTACATATGTAAAAAATAAAAGAAATAAATATGAATATGAATATCATATATAATCAAAATAGATTTTTAAATTAAAATTATTCAACAGTATAATATTATAAATAATTATATTTAAATTTAAATAGATATATTGGATTTGATTCGATTAAAATAAAAAAATGCATAATGATAAAAATAATACTTATAAACTTGATAGAAATCTAATATAGAAAAAGAAAATAAAATAAAGGCCATGATTTATAAGCAATGATTTTATACATTATAGCAGGTATATCTTTTGGAAAGAATGTAATAACCCATGACAAGCGATATCAAAGTAATCTTTTGTTCGTCTTATTTCACGTTCAACGTTCTAGTCAGAGGGTTAGGTAAGATAAGAATCATGATGATAATTCGTGATAAGTTATATTAGAGCGATCATTTAATTGTTAATTTTCATATCAAGCGTCATAACGAATGAGATAAATAAAATAGACAATCTTAACAATGATTCGTGATAAATATGTCATAAAAGTAAATAAATGAGAATGTCACATTTTTAAAGAGAATATATTAATTCTAATTAAAAAGAAGGAAAAAAAATCTGAATATATGAATAAAATCGTATGTCTTCTTGAGAAAGGAACAATAAAACTAACTAGCATCGATAACTAGGCTTGTAAATGAACCGAACGCACACGAACGGATATATGTTCATATTCGTTCATTTAATAAATAAGCGAACATAAACGAACAAATTTTTTTTTGTTCATGTTCGTTCATTAAGGAATATAGCTTGTTCATGTTCGTTCATTTAATAAATAAACGAACATAAACGAACACAAACATAAACGAACACGAACATAAATGAACACGAACATAAACGAACATAAACGTTGGAGACCCTACCTTCCATTGTTCTTTCATGAAAAATAGTCGACAATGCAAATCAACCAAATCTACAGTGATAATAGCGTAAGAGTTGATTAGCAGTGATGAAATGTTTGAAGATATCAGATATTTCGATCAATCTTTTAAAGATATTAAATGATTCACACAACTTTAGAGTTAATTTGTTCGAACACGACAAAAACATACATAAATCATAAGTAAGCTATATGAATATAATAAAGTCTTAAAGTTAATTTGTTCAACAAAACAATCTTCTTGAAATCCAAACAACTTCAATAATATTCGTAACATATTCAACTTGCATTCATGATCAGTCGTTAATTCATCATCCATCCTGATCAAAATCAAACAAATAAAATTATATTAAATTAAAGGAGTTATAACAAAAGATGAAAAATATACTAAATTAGCGAGGTTATACCAATTCATTCATCCTCATTTTCAAGGAATCTCAACATGTATGATATCTTCGTTTTGCTACAACAAATAAAAAAAACCAAAAATATATTAGTCATTGTAAAACCAAATTCAATAAAACTTAAAACATAAAAATACTTTGTTTTTATTTTTCTCCAACCCATAGTATTGACGATACCAATCAGCTCCACAAACAAGCATATCTACCATCTTAGTTCCTAAAGAGGATCGATGCGGATCAATAACCCTCCCACCAGCACTGAAAGCAGATTTAGAAGCAACAATAGTGACCGGAATTGCCAATATGTCAGCAGCCATTTTTGAAAAGATGTTAAATTTAATATTGTTCTCCTTCCACCATCCCAGTCCACAGTCTTCATCTTTCCCAAGCCCCGAACCTTCCTACCATGTGAGTCCCTCATCTTCCTTATGCCCGAGTCTGACTCGTTTCAATTCAAATACCTCGACTCACCTCCTTCCATTCCTCCGCAACATTGCAGCCATATCCAGCAGCGCTCCACTGACCTCTCCACTTTCTTCCCCCACTAGAGGATATAAGCGCAAATCTGACTGGGACTCCCTAAGGGCAACTCTAACGCGGATGACTGGGCAACGAGGGGTGGGCTGGAGAAGACCGACTGGTCGAATGCACCATTCATAGCGACGTACAAGGGTTTCCACATCGTTCAAGATGCCACAAAAAATCCCTAAATTCACACCCCAAAATTAACAGACAAAAAAAATTCAAATTATTTACCTTATGAAATCACGTTCAAGAAGGGAAAGAGATGAAGCTCTGTCGAATCGTTGTAGTTGAAGACTTGAAGCTCCGTCGAATCATTGCAGAAATGAAAATTGTGGAGGGTGGGGAGAGTTGAGAATCAAGAACAGCTGAATGACAGGTTGGAGAAGAGTTGAGAAAATATTGTTTTTAGATTTAGGGTTTTTTGTATTACCGCTTAATCAGGCTGTAAAATTGGGTTAATTATGAAGTTGGTAATCAAAATATCATATTAATTAATATTTTTAAGATACATACAAATTGGTCACCAAAATTGATTTAAGAATATTATGTTAAACATAAATGAACGCACATAAACGAACATAACTAAACGCATATAAACGAACATAATCGAACGTTCACGAACGTAAATGAACGAACGAGACCTATGTTCATGCTCGTTCATTTAATTAAACGAATAAAAAATCTTGTTCATGTTCGTTCATTTAATAAATAAATGCAAATAAATGAACTTCCCGCCGCACGGTTCATGAACGGTTCGCTGAACGTTTAGTTCATTTACAGGCCTATTGATAACTCATCCCTATTAAGTATATTGTACGGTAATCTTAGGCCCATTGGGCCTTTATTTACTTCATCAAATGATATTTTTTTTTACTAAAATCAAACCAAATTACCAATTAGCACATCTCTGTTTCTCTCTACCCAATCTTCCCCTCCCCACTGTATTATGTACAGTGACGACACAATCAAGTCGGGTCTTCTCCGACAACCACACACAACGGTTAATGCAAATCACTCTTCCACTCTTACCCCCCACCACCATAGCCTAGCCTAGTCAACGACACTTACTCGTCACTCTTCATTCTAATCTCCCACAGCCGAGCATGAAGCGGGATCAGCTCTCCGAATGCGGCGGTTGCGGCGCCCCGGAGCGCTTCTTCCTCCACAACCTCCGCCACAGGGCCAGCTACCGACGCCTCTGCACCAACTGCGTCCTCAAGAACCACCAGGGCCTTTTTTGCCCCATTTGCCTCGAAGTCTTCAACGAGCCCCCTCCCCCTCATCAACGCCTCATCTGCCTCAAATGCCCTTCCATTTCACACCTCTCCTGCCCTTCCTCTCATCTCTCCCAATCCTTCACTTGTCCCCTTTGTTCCAACCCTAATTTCTCTTTCTTCAGTCTCGCCGATGAGAAACCCAAGTCAACGCCCGATAATCCCCAAGGATCTACACCCGAAGAAGACGGCGACGACGACGCCGGCGGGAAAAACGACGACAAGACGTCGACGAAAACGAGGGTTATAAACAAGGAAGCTGCCAAAGCGCTTCTAGCTGCTGCTAAGATTGCCGCTGTCTCTATGACCAAAGCTGCCGCCGTTGCTAAATTAGAGGCTGAACGGAGAGTCAAGAAGCTACTTTGGCGAAGAAGAGAGCCAAGAGGCTCTTGAGAGACTCGCCTGTTAGTCCGTAAGGACAATGATAGACATAAGTCGTCACTTATAAGCACTCTGAAATCTAAAGCTGATGCCGCCGTTTCCGCTGCCACCACCAAAACCAACTCTTTATCTCTTCCATCTCATATTCCTGAAAAGGGAAATAATGGATCGTTTTCTGTTTCTGCTGCTAATGTTCCCAAGTTGCACCGTCAACATAGCACTCATGGTATGCCTAATTGACCCATTTCCCATCGGTGATTCCGACAATCTCTGTAAACTGTTTGTTTTTGTTGGTAATTTTAGGCTGATGTTTATGGAACCATATGTTAAATCTTTGTAGAGAATAGTCTGTTTATTTGGACTCAGCTCTTTGTTTGCATTCAATTGTAGCTTTCCCTTCTGCCCTGTATGTATTTTCATGAGTTCATTGTTTATGTTCATTTGCTGCCTTGCTGTTTTTTTTAATAAGAATTTCAGGCCTCGTTAAAAACCCCCTTCTTGATTAATGGAGTTTATATGAACTCCTTAATCAATGGAAGGAGGAAAAGAGTGCCTTAGGATTTTATTGAACCATAAAATTACAGAAGATACAACCATCATACACCCCACCAACCAAATAAACTTGAAACAACCATAAACACCCAAAATATAAGAATAGAATAGGATCAGCCAATTCCTTCTTTAGCTAAGGCATCAGCCTCTAGATTGGCTGACCTCTTAACCCATCTGACAACACCTTCTAAAACATTAAGCCTATGAACAATATCTTTAATCAAAAACGCATAAACATCAGGAACTAGATCCTCTTTCTTAATCCAGTCTACCGCAACTTTGCTGTCGCTTTCAATAATCAGACGACCCTTCCTCTCTTGTAAATTCACATAGAACATTAGACCTTTTTGAATAGCTTTTAATTCCATAAAAGTTGGAGGGCCCGGACCAGCAGTTTCCTTGAAAGAACTTAAAGTCAAACCCGAGGAGTCCTTTAGAACACCTCCTATCCCACTCTTCTTCCAATCTCTTGCAGTAGCCGCATCAACATTTAACTTTACAAAACCTTGAGGAGGAGGAGACCAAGGAAATATAGATACAAGCCGATTAGGATAAAGAGAGCACAAATCCCCTAATGAAGGGTCTGAAATAAGAGAATCCTTAGGAATAGACACCTCTTTGTACTTACTGCCTTGCTGTTTTTGTTCTCTTTAATTTCATTTTTCTTATGCCCACAAAACCAAATTTTCTGGATCCCTGCTCTAATTAAGCTTATCTGGTCATTTGAGTTGTTTAACAAGTAGTTCAGCCTTGACAACGCCTGATTACAACAAAAAGAAGTGTCAATATGTCTTCGGATGCTTCACATCCTCAATATGTCCATTAATTGATGCATCTTGATAGCATATCTGGGTTTATCTTACTTCAGATGCTGTTATTGATGTATTTTTAGAGGGAAGCAGGTTATGCTTTCCACTATGCAAGTGCTATATTAGTCCTGGAATAAGTTGATCAGGACTTGACCTTTGATTTTTAACTTGTACAACATAGTAAATCTCTTTTTTTAATTTTATTGCAGTATGTTGTTTTGCAAGCTTTGTTAGGAAGGCATCTACTTCTTATCTGAATGTTTGGTGTTAGCCTTTTCCTAGGTTTGTTAGATTAAAGATAATGACAGCTAGGAATTCCTCCCTTTTCTTTGTGCAATGTTCTTTATAGTCACTTATTCGTAATACAACGTTGCGCAATGTTTTATGGACAAATGTTTGTATAGCGATAGTCGTTTTTAGCAGTAATTGCTGAAGAACAAATCAGTCACTGTGTAGCGCTGATTCCATAGGATTATCTATTGCCTAATGGAGTGAAGGTTCTTTGGGACTTTTGCTTTGTTGCACTAGTAAAATCTCTGATAATGAGCAAAGTCCATTCCAGGGGCATGCTGAGTTCTATAAACTGTAATGGGCTAATGGCATTAGTAGGAGGATGAGGATCACCATATACAGGGGCCTGGGTGGAGCTTAGTTTGCTTTTCAAAGTTACATGCATGGATTGGTGCAATACTTAAAGCCTATAAGGGACTTACTAGTTGTGTTAAGAAATGCTTCGGAATTCGGATGTTGAGGAGAATATGTGCAAGATGCATTTCATTACTAGTTTGTATCTCTTTATTCTGCTGGTGCTGCTGCTTCAATGAATTTCTGCGTTCAAAAGTGATATTTGCTTTGTATGTTAACCATGACCATAACATAGTTACATAAAATACAAAAACAAAGTGCATATAGCGTCAATATGTTATGCAAATGCAAATGTTTTCCAAGGGTGACGAACATTTTACATGTTCGGCTTACGATCTATGTTTGAGGTTTGGGGTTGTCCCTCCCTATAATGTCGTGTTCAAGGTTCAAACTATTTCTTCGGGACAAAGTGGTAGCAGAAGTGAGGAAGGAAAATATTAGTGCATGCAGATAATTTGGTCTTTCACATAAATCCTTCATTATTTCTCTACCTGAGCTGTGAATATGATCCAGCTGTGCTAATCTTGTTCCCTCCCTCTCTTCTTGAAGAGAAGATAAATGAATTTGTTCTAGACTCCATGTGCCAACAATTGTATTGATTTTGAATGCTTGAAGATTTTCTAAAGCTAAAAATTGTTTGTGGGAGTGCATTGAGAAAGGAGAAAAAAAAGTTACAAAGGTTATTTTATAGACTTCGTTTGACTGTTGAATCTTCTGAATAGAGTTTACCCAAGAGCATGCGGGGGAGATTCATAGTGTCATGTTTTTACGAATCAAACAATCTTAGTGATTAAGCGATTTGTTGTTATTGTTTGAGGTGCTAGATTCGAGTATTACGAATGCAGGGATATAAGTTTTTAAACAAATACTACTTTGTATTCATTTTAGATTTATTAAAAAAAACTAAAAACATTAAAAATGTATTTTTAAAATTTAGTTTTAGATAATTAATGATTTATCATGACTTGTAAGTCCTTCATTCATGTCATCATTGGATTGTCACGGTAATATTGTGTATTGTGTTTTGACATTAGCATTGTGAATCATTACGTCAACATCGTAATTGTCGATGTCACTTTCCATTGAACAAATTATCAAATTGATTTTTTTTGTTTAATGATCACATTGGATGTAAAAAATATTTAACTAAAGGTAAGTGTCTAAACTATACACTTTATTCACTTTAGGTCTTAAAGTATTTTTTGCTCTAATAATTTTGATTTTTTAAATAAAATTTTCAAAATTTTATAAATGTGACATGTCACGTTTTGAGTGTTTGAATAATTTTTCTAATGGTCGTGACGGACTAGAAATTAAAGCGATAATATAAAAAACATTAGACACTTACCTTGAGTGAAAATATTTTAAGCACCTAAAGTGAATAAAAAGTATAATTTGTGCACTTATTTCTTAATTAAGTCTAAAATAAGTTTAGGAACCATATTTTTTTCTTCAAAAATTTAAGGGACTCAAATATTATTAAGCCAAATACAAATAAATCAATTATAACATAAATTATGAATATATTTTATAAAAATATACTAATTCTGATATATTACAAAATATTTAAATATCATTGGGTGACTAAAGTTAAAGTCCTCACACTTATCGTTTTCTAATATGTATCTTCAACACAATCATATTCTTTTTAAATAAAATAATTTTTTGTTTAATTTAATTCTTACATGATTTTTATTTTTAAATTAATTTATTATTTTTAATTGAGTGAGAAAAGTATGTCATGGAAGTCATTAATAGACGCATACGATATCGATGAAACCGTCAATAATTATTGACGATTTTTATAATTCCTTTTTTCATCAAATATACAAATGGTTCCTCTACTATATTGATCTATTTTGTTGAGTCTTCTGATTATTAAAAATCATAAAATGATTTTCGATCATAGGAAGTTGTTTTGTTGAGTCAATCGATTATAAGAAGTTACAAAATGATCACTCAACTATTTATTAGGTTCAAAACTCATTATTTTTCGTTAAAAAAATTAAAAAAATCTAAACTGTACATTAACGTGTTGACTGAGATATGATAAAATCTAATCTCATAACAAATGATCTTCGATCATAGGAAGTTGCTTTATTGAGTCCATCGATTATAAGAAGTTACAAAATGGTCACCCAACTATTTATTATGTTCAAAACTCATTATTTTTCGTTAAAAATTTGAAAACAATATGAGCTGGACATTAACATGTTGACTGAGATATGATAAAATCTAATTGCATAACAAATGACTATCATATCTCAGTCAGCATGTTAACATCTAGCTCAAACAATCGTTAAAGTTTTTAACGAAAAAAGATGAGTTTAGAATATAATTAATAGTCGAGTTAACATTTTGTAACTTTTAATAGTCGAGTTAACATTTTGTAACTTTTAATAGTCGAGTTAACATTTTGTAACTTTTAATAGTCAAGTGACTCAACAAAGCAACTCTCAATAGTTTGGTGACTATTTTATAACTTTTAATAGTCGATAAACTTAAGAAAATAGTATTCTACAGTCGAAAGATCATTGGTATATTTCATCCATTTTTTTTCATCCTAACAAATAATGATTTTAATAAAATTATGTATGAAGAATCAAACACTATAAATAGTATCTTAATTCTTTAAATAATTTTTCTTCTATATCATTTTCTTAATTTATTTTTCACAATTGTTCATTAAATAAGCCTATTTTTATTCATATAAAATTATATAAAAAAAATTCTTGTAAAAATTTCCTTCAAATTTCCGAACCACTATCAACTCTCTTCACACATCCCGCCGCCAAAACAAGCCCTCTCTTCACAAAGGAGGAAATTAAACAAGGTAAACCCTAAATATAATTTGAAGATTGATTTATACTTGAGTCACGAGAGAGATTTTGAGTTATATAATCTCTGCATCTGCTTCACTCCGTTTTATTTGATTTTCTGTTTCATGTCCCACTGCCTGAATTTTCTTAAAAAGCTATCGGTTTAGCGGAAATAGCGGGCAGCTATCAGCCTATCACCACTATTTTCCGTTGCACTGTTATTTATTGGCCGGAATCCGCCGCTATCAGCGGTGGCGGACGGCGTTATTGAAACCCTGCAAACATTGCTTTGTTTCGTCAATTCTAATTTCTTCTACTTTTAGCCACAGCGATACAAATGCCAGAAAGCAAGGCGGTGATTGGTCTGAAATGGGAGCCCAAGCTTCCTGGTTTGACTTTTCCATCTACAAACTCCTCTATTTCTGGTTCTGGTTCTGGGACTGTTTCTAAATCCCAGAATGAACCCGAAAGCACTTCCCTTTGGAAACCTAACAACCAACTCGTCGATGGCCTCTTTGTACCACCTAATGATCCTTCAAAGGTTAATAAATTGCTCAGAACGCAAGTCAAAGACACCGCTGGCTCCGCCTGGTATTCTTCATGTTTCCCACCTTTTTCTTTATTAACTCCCCTTTCCTCGCCACATGTATCTCACAATTCTTACTTCAACAGGTTTGATATGCCTGCCCCAACCCTCACCCCGGAGTTGAAGAAAGATCTTCAATTACTCAAGGTGCGCTGCCCTGTGCATCCCCTTTTGTTTAATGCATTTTTGTCAATTGTATTTTTTGAGAATCTTCTTTTTATATGTTGCATCATATTCGATCATCATTGTCATATATTCAATTCATGTTTGAAACTAATGAGGATTAGGGTTTAAGGTTTAATGTAAAGATGATTGAGTTGATTTTTAGTTAGAATTTGACTTCACTACTATGTTTTTCTTAGTGGTTTATTGCTTTAGGAATTTTGTCAATCTATCTTTCTGAGAACGTGCTTTTTAGATGTATCATTATCGCTTGTTGGCATATCTTCAATTCATGTTTGAAACTATCGAGCCTATCAAGATAATTAATAAGATTCCACTTTTAATTTAACTTCACTAGAATGATTTTCCTAGGTGTTTATTGTTTTAGGAATTTTTGTCAACTATATCTTCTTCTTCTTTTCATATCTTCAATTCATGTTCGGAACTAGTGAGCCTATCAAGATAATTGTTTTAATTTTTTAGTTTGAATTTGACATCACTATAACGTTTTTTACCTAGGAGTTTATTTTTTGAAGATTTACATGTTCATACCTTCCCATGGACCCAATTCTTGACATTGGCTACTTGTGTTTGTTTGTGTTGCAGTTGAGGGGGGCCATTGATCCCAAGAGACATTATAAAAAGGATTCAAAATCCAAAGCACTGCCCAAGTACTTCCAGGCAAGTTCACTACCATAGTATAGTGCATATTTATTTTACTTTTTTATTTTTTTATGTTCATCCTAATTGGCTGATCTGAAATATTTCTCTCTTGACATGCAAGCAGGTTGGAACTGTGGTAGAATCCGTGACAGATTACTACTCAGGTAGAATGACAAAGAGTGAGAAGAAGGCAACCCTTGCAGATGAGCTGCTTTCTGATCCAGCTGTTAGGCAATACAGGTTAAATATTGTTTTGATAAGTTCAAGTCATTTATTTCCACTTAAATACGGTATAACGTTATATAATACCTAGTTCAATGATCAAATAAGAGTGTGGCCCAGAAAACTCTATCCGATTCCCCTGTTGCTGAAAGAAAAAAAATAACAATACACACTGTCAGTCTGTCACAACTCACAACTCATAATGGGTGAATTGCTAGTATGTGGGATAATCTGCAATCAGAAGGAGAATATCATCAATTTATTAATTTCATTATTCCTTTGGGCAATAATGCTTTTGCACACTGTTGATCATTGTCTGTCAAACTTCTTACAGGAAGCGTAAGGTTCGGGAGATTGAAGAACGTAATCGACCAACCGGTAATGAGAAATGGAAGATAAAAGGACGTCAGACGTACAAGCGGGCGAAGCAGCGAAGGCATTAACTTTTTCCATGCTATATGCTGTCTTGAAATTTTGACCCTATTACTAGAAGGGAATTTTATGTGCCAAATGTCCCAAGAAACAAGTTGAACGGTGGAGTTGTTTTAAGGTAATATCAATGGCTTTATTCAGGTTAAAAACTATGGTCCTCGTTGGGATATACCCCGTTATTAATTCTTGATTCTAGATATTTTAGCGTTTTGATTGATAGTGGTGAGCCTATTTAGACAAAAATGCCTAGGGGTTCTGAGGAATCTAGTTTACTAGTTACCAACAGTTTCTGCCATTAGAGAACAAGTGTTTGCAGTTTAGTATTGTTTTCTGTTTTGAACAATTTGATACAATTTTTATATTATCCAGACCCCTCTCCACTCGTAAATCGGAAGATATTAACCGTTTATGCATGTTCGTTCTTACGTCTTCTTGTGTATTGTGTCAAGGACAATACCAACCGAACTAAACTCAATCGGTAAATTTTCATTGGCTTTTTATTTGTTTTGGTTGGGTTATAACTGAAAATATGATGGAGTAATCTATTAGGCATGATTGTTGTTGGATGTTGAAGTCTATGACAGCACATTCCAACCAAAATTTGGCAGTCAGAATTATTATAGTTTATTATTCATAGGTATATTTATTGTATTTTCCAACCAGCTCAGACCTCCTTAGATTTGTCTTCCTGTTTTTGGAGTTGAATCCTGTCAATTTTTTAATTTCTTCACAGATGGTAATATGATATAATATACCTTTATCATTTTCTTACAATTTAACAAATATTATTATTATTTTTTAAATATGCAAAAAAATTTATCTGTTTATACGAAATATTGAAATGTATATGTTACGTCATTATATGTCAAATCAAATTGTATTATTTGATGAAACTAAATCGGTCATATATATATAAATACAGTACATAGACAATTTGGCATTTTGCATTGGAGTATTATTGATGATTTGTTTAACGGCAGCCAGTGGTCTCATAGGAAACAAAAGTTGGTGGGGTATTATGCCTACTATTCTATAATAACATTATTATTATTATTATTAGCAGCGTAGGTGTTTATTTATTACTTTTAATAATATATATATATATATATCTTGTTATACCCAGCTACTAATGTATTTATATTAAAAACATATATGCATATACCATAATGCGTATGCATTATATTGAACTTTCTTTTTATTTATTTGTAGTTACCTATTTTAATAATTAAATTTATTACACCTAAAGAAAATATTTTATATAAAATATAAGTTTAAGGGTGTTAAAAACTCTCAAACTTGTGAAAGATAAGAAGTAATTAAATTATGATTTTTTCATCTATTTAAGATCTTATACTTTAAATTTCATCAATTCATCCACTTGATTAGTATTGATGATTAAAGTCGATAATTTGTTATTAGTTGGTGTTAGTGTCAAATCATATTTTTAAAAATTATTATTTATTATTAAACTTTTAAAGTTATATTATAATTTTAATAAATTTTCTAAAAGCATATAGATTGCATGTGACAAAATCACAGTGTGTCTTGTGACAACAATATCAAAAAAAAAAAACTATTAAGGTTAAATAGTCAAATTGCTCAAATGATTTAATTGGTTCGATTTCTTTATTTAAAATTTTAATCTTTTGATTTGAGGATTCAATTAGATGTAAAAAAAGATTTAGAGCTTAATTCATTTTATTTTCAAAAGTTTAAGGACATCATTTATCCTTTTAGCCAAAAGTATATTTATAAGAAAATATTCAATAAGTACAAGTAATATATATATTATTTCATTAGTTTTATCTTTGAATATGTTTCCAGCATGCTCTTTCAAATCACTAGCAAATATATATATTTTTAAATTGATATTTGATTAACAAATAATACTAATGTATTTAAAGATTTAATACAATATAGTACATATAATAATAATAAAAATAGTAATAATAAAAGACACACAGAACGACAGCGATTCTCTGTCTTTCTCTCTCATCTGTTACCATTTCATTCCATTGCAGGCTTTGTTGCTTTGCTCCTAACTTTTGTTTTCTCCTTCTTTCTCTGTAACCCTTCAAATTTGAAATTCATTATCTTTCGGAATTTTTCTTTCCCTTTCTATTTCTAGTTTATTTTTGGGGAAAAAAAAGGAAGGAAAAAAATCTCTGTCTGAGAGTAGTGGTTAGGGTTGTTCTTTGGAATTTTGTACTGTTGGGATTTGAATGAGGAGAACATATATACTTTTGGGAAACCGAAATTGAAGAATCGGCTGACTTCATGGCCACCACGGAGTTGCAGATGAGTCCTCAGTTGGAGCAGATCCATGGCGAAATCCGCGATCTTTTCCGTGCTCTGTCGTATGTCCTCTTCGACTTGTTTACTACTCAAATGATTTAGGCTTGTGTTGTAATCTGCAATCACAACTCTTTTCTTAACATACAAGTTTTTTTACTTCAGTATTCTTGTTTGGACTAGGTTTCAACTTTGTTGTTTTGAGTTGTCCTTCAAACTTCTAAATCTGATAACTGTTTTTTTTAACTATGATGCAATGCTTTTCAGAAATGGGTTTCAAAGGCTCGATAAGATGAAAGATTCAAATAGGCAAAGCAAACAGCTGGAAGAGCTTACTGGCAAGATGAGGGAATGTAAAAGGTATGCCGTATTTTAGTATGTGAGATATTTGATTTCTTCTCATTTTTACCTTTTTTTTATTTCAATTCCTAACTTCGATGAATTGTTTGCAGATTAATCAAGGAGTTTGATCGTGAAATTAAAGATGATGAAAGGAAAAATCCTGCTGAAGTGAACAAGCAACTCAATGATGAGAAGCAGTCAATGGTAAGTTCGTTTTTGAACCTCAAATTTCCTTGCTATTGGCATAAAAAGCGTACACATGATTGAGTGTTCTAGTATCCTGGGAACAATCAAATGTTTGTTACATTGTAAGAGGGTTTAATTGACGAAATGAAATCTCCCTTGGTGGAGGGAGATAAATGGGTAGTCATATTGGTTTATTCTGGAATTATATCCACTAATATGCTTTTTAATCTTTGTGTTTTCCTTTTGCAGATAAAAGAACTGAATTCGTATGTAGCATTGAGGAAAACGTAAGTTTGCCTATTGTAAAGGGAACAGTGGGGATTTTAGTTTTTACAGTATGTCAGTTGAGTTGTGAAGTTTGGGGTTTAGCCAAGTCTGAAACTTGGCCTTCCTAATGTAGGTTGCAACCAATTTTTGAGTAGTATAATTCAGCCCATAATATCCAATGAGCCTGCCCTTTTTTCCCTGTAGTTTTCATGTCTTTATGTGTGTAACTGCAGATACATGAATACCCTTGGTAACAAGAAAATTGAACTCTTTGATATGGGAGCTGGAGTCAGTGAACCTACAGCCGATGAAAATGTTAAAGTGGCGTCATGTAAGATCATACGTTTTTTTAAATCTCTATTGTGTTTTGATTTATTTAGAACATGTATTTGGGATCAAAGACAAGAGTTATGAAAACAGTGGGTATGTTTTTATTGGTTTTTCTTTTAATTTGATATGTGTAAATACATTCTAATACCCCAGAATCTCGTATCAAATATGATTTTAGTGATTTCGTTGATTTTGGATTTTTTCATGCTATATGCATTTTTATTCAAATATTGCGTAGAGACTGGGGTGTGAAGTCTTCTTAGAATGTTTGAAAGTTTGGAAACAAGGCTACTAAGAATTCACAGCTTTGGATGCCACAGGAAACTCAGTCGAATCCATGATCTTGACTGAAAATTATGAACTCATAACAAAAGAATCTCAGAATAGAAGTTACCTGTTTTTTAACCCTAAACCATCTTACTACAGCTTGACTTTCTCCGCAGCAATGTCAAACCAAGAGCTTGTTGATCATGGGATGAAGACAATGGATGAGACTGATCAGGCCATTGAACGCACAAAAAGGTAAAACAGAAACAGCTTTTTGTTCCCTAGTGCGGCCCTCAGCTTAGTTGTTGCCATCTTTTTCTCTTTTCTTAATTTTTAGATTCACAGGTTGTTGAACAAACAATTGAAGTGGGAACACAAACTGCCACTACTCTAAAAGGCCAAGTAAGTCAGATTAACCGGTCTTTTATTATTATTTTTCTTTAAGCTGTTGTGTTGCATGCATATACTGATAGAAAGTTATGCAGACTGATCAAATGGGCCGTATTGTAAATGAGCTGGATACTATCCAGTTTTCTATTAAGAAGGCATCACAGCTGGTAAAGGAGATCGGTAGGCAGGTTAGTTGTTTTTATCACTCTAGATGCAACCTTGGTTCAATTTGACTATTTTTTCTATGCCATTTTAAATTTCTTCTTCCCGCAGGTGGCCACTGATAAATGCATCATGCTATTTCTTTTTCTTATCGTATGTGGTGTTATAGCCATCATAGTTGTGAAGGTATTCTTTTTCCTTATTGATTTCATTTTGGTAGCCTGTTAAACTTTCTGACTTATTACAGTGGAAAAGTGAGTTATGTTTTGGTGTATATTTTTAAAATTAAGTTTCTGTAAAGAAAATTTGAGAGGACTTGGCCACCAGGGTCGTTTTCCCTAAACATGTTGAACTGCTCTATCATATTGTTTCCGATATTATGACAAGATGGAAATGTTGAGTGTGACAAATGTTTATCACTACTAGTTACGATTAAATACTTGCAGCAAACAAGCCACTTAGTAATTGTGTTCTTTTAAGTACATTAAGGCTTGTTAAGCATTGTTGCAATTGAAAGTGCTTTTGAGAAGTACCTAGCAATCATTCTCGTGATTCGACTCCAATACCGCTTTAAATGAAGTGATTTAGATGAAAAAAGGTCTTTGCTTACCATTGCTTTTGCTGTCGAAAAGTTTACACACCCTTAGAGATAGATTCAGATGCGTTATTAACAATGATTGGCTTTGTACTGTGCAAAATTCCCGTTTTCTGATTGCAATGTGGAAATTTCAGATTGTGAATCCGAACAACAAGGATATCAGAGACATTCCAGGATTGGCGCCTCCAGCACCTTCAAGGAGATTGTTATACCTAAGGGACCCGCAGTAAAAGGTGATCATTTCCGATAAGTGAGTGGTTGGTTCTGCTTATGCTTTGAATACATTAGAGTGGGGAGTATCGGAAAGTTTGTGTGAGGGGTCTAATGTTTTTTTCACGTTTGTATTTTATATAATCGATTCTTGGCTGAGATGTGCATATCCGGTTGTTGGTGATGTTTGTTGTCTTGTGTAAATTTGGTGGGAGGGGCTGTTGAATCATTTGAAAGATTTAACTTTGAAGATTGCTTGTAGGGCCAGAAATTAAGAAGCCATCTCTGAAGTGAATTCCACATAATTGTTCGTGTCTTTGGAAGAGAGATATTGTTCAAGTGTTGTATCTTAACATTTTTAAGTGACGTGACACGTTCATCCGATCCGCATTCAACCATACCCTTTAAATGTAATAATTTAAACTAAACCATTATGGATCGAAGTAATATGCCACATCAGTCAAACATATGCTTGCATTAGCTGATGATTCTTAAACACAGGTTAGAGTTTATTAAAGTATTTTATCCTCGGAACTTTTTTTTTTAAAATATTATACTAATTTTAGTTCTAGATTTGATTTATTAAATATTATAAATCTTGCTTACACGTGAAAATGAATGTGAAAAAAATGTATATCATATACAGTTAGAGTCACTTAAATTATAATCAATCATTATCATAACATTGTAAATGATTACATTTAAATTTTAAAAAATATATTTAGTTCGACTATAATTCTATAAATTCAACTTGAAATTTTTTAAATAAAGTTTGAATGATAAAACGATATTCATAAGCTTAATTAACTCGAATTCTTTCGCTATACTTGATCAAGTACCCACCCTAATATTAGATTCCTCCTTAATTAATATTTCAGACCCTCAATTTTATTAAATCATTGACTACCATCCTTATGAAGTCTTTAAATAAATCAAGTGTTCCGGTCTGCAAGCAAGTAGCTAAGGTAGGTCGAATGCCAACTTGATCATCTAAAACTCCTTGAATCTTTCAACGCTAATAAAGATTATGAATCTCCCCCCATTTAACACACTTGTTTTAAAACTAATAAAAAATGTTGTTTTTGTTGTTGTTTTAACGCTTAAGCAAGTCTCGAGTTCGAGTCTTTGTATATGTAGAAAATTATAGTTGGGAGACTCGCCCACCAAAACCAGGAGTGCGACCCAAGTCGGACCTTGAGAACCGGGAGGTCAACAAAAAAAATTATGTGCCCTCTAGAGTTTCCTTGACTTGTTGTTGCCTTCATGTGGACAATTTGTAATTTTTTTTATAAAGAAAAAGGGTATTTTCTGTGTTTAAATTCTGAATTAATATCAATTAATGATTTGATAAAATATTTTTTTCATTCTACTCGTGATCTGATGAGTTTCACATTGTAATATAATGTACACTAATTTTCTCTATTTATAATGTCACTAATCAGTTTAAGTAATTACTATTGTTATATATTTCAATCAAAATGATGGTATTATTTTTTTTTCTTGAAAACAACCCATATTCATTAGGATAATGTGTGTTGGAAGGGTTGCTAGAAAGAAAAAAATATATATAATGTTCACATTTTAACTAAAAATAGGTAACCGTAAATTATTTAGACTAAAGTAATGATATTATAAAATTAAAATAATTAAAATATATCAAATTAAAGTACATTTACTAAATTAAAAATTTGATCATAGTTGAAGGACAAAAACATAATTTGACCATATAAATCTTAACATGATAATCAGTGTTTCTTCATCTTCGCTGGAATCCTCTCACTCTCTCAGAGCTCAGCAATGAATACTCATTTTCCTTTCGCTTTTAGACTTGGATAAAGTATACAATCGATCATTAAACTATGTTAAATAATCTTTTTGGTTATTAAAATTTTAAAAATTATAAAATAATAACTAAATTTATCAAATGGTTAAAAATAATTATTATAAGTTAAAAATAATAATATAATTTAATAAGTTTAAAAAATATTTTATAACATTCAATAAGTTTAATAATAATTTTATAAATTTTAAAGTTTGAATGATTAAAGGTATTTTAAAATAATATAATAATTATTTTATCCTTCAAATTTTTGTAAGGTGGAAATGGCACACATGTGAATTCAAAATATGAAAATGGATATGTATAGAATAATCGGTTCAATTACCAACAAAAATATTCTGACTTCTTAATTTTCGAAAATGATATAATTAGATTCTAATAAATTAAAATAGAAAAAAAAGGTTAAATAATCTATCTCTTTAATAATACAATATTTTGAAGAAAAAAAAATAACCCATATTGAATCGACCAAATTATTAATTTACTATTCGATTAAACTATTCGAGCCACTAGTATTATGACGATTGAACTCATGTTTTGACCCAATTTTAATTTTAAATGATTTACATTTTTTTTAAAATTTTATCTTACTAATTCAACTGATTAAGCCATCGTTTAACCTGACCTTTTATTTGGTTTTCACAAGTAAGACAGATTGAATATTTTATGTTGAGGGTATAAATTTTGAAAATTTTTAAAAAAATATAAATTTATAAAATTTTAAGAGGACGAAAATAGAATTTTAATAAAAAATACATAAAAAATAAAATACATGATAATTTTAAAATTTCATAAAAAAACGACTATCTCATCTGTCCATCGAATCTATGATTTTTACTCGAAATGAATGTTTGTGCAAACTTTGTAAACCTCAAACCCTCTTTTCCCTACTTGCTATCTTTGTGTTTGTGGTGATTATGCTTGATTCATCAATCATACATACACACATACCATCGCCCATTTTATATATGCCATGAATATGAATATAGTCCCTCGACGGCGGTTGTGATGCCAACAGTCAAGGATGGATCGAGAAAGACAGTTGAGAATAATAATAAATTCAGAAATATTTTTAAATATGTACATATATATTAATAATATAAAAATTTAAATTGATTTGACACAAATAAAATTTTAGGGTGTGTATCAGCAGTAAAATAAGAAATTAATCAAAGAAAATTCAGATTTTAGGTAGGTATGTATGTGATCACTCTCATCAAGTTGTGGCTCAGCCATTGGGTGGGAGATTCGTGTTATGAAAATTTTAAGTTTGAATTTAAATAAAAGTTCCAGCAACTTCATTCAACGAATTTTTTTATAAATTGGACTCGATTTGACTCAAAAAAATTTAAATTCAATTCGTGTTATAAAGCATGACTCAAATAACTAAAATAACTCAATCTTTAGTAATTAATGGATTGATTTTTTAAGTTTAAATCGAGTCTCTAAACTCTGCATAATATATGTATATTGCATATGAAAATATACGAATATATATATGTTTATATCGTATCCAGATATAAATAGTACCAAAACATTATAATTATTTAAAGTTAAAATTAAACAAAAACTTGAAAAACTCAATTCTACTCATATTTCATAAACTCGACTCAATTAACAAAATTAAATAAAGTTTAAGTTACAAAATAGAACTCATTAACTTAATTAACTCATATTTTTTTACTTAATTCAACTCAACTCAATGAAATATTTATTTTTAAATAATATAATAGAGTATCACGTGATCGCGTCATGTTGTCATTTAACACGATTAATTTTAAAAGATAGAGTAGAACACCAAAAATATATATATATATATATATATATATATATATATATATATATATATATTAAAATCTCGTTATAAAGTTAAAAATATAAACATTATATTAAGATTATATTAAGAAAACATGAGGCATTCGTGACATTAATCCAATCTTAAATTAGTTTAATCATTTTGAAGCTAAAGCAAAGGTTTAGGTCAATCAAAAGCCTAGTGGTATTGGCGTCCAGTCTGTTTCTTTGACTATTGCATGCAAATCTAATACATAAAAGTTTCACCTTTACTTCAAAAACACTGTAAAATTAACATCTTCAAACCACAAAATATCAAGGATTTAAATATATGGTCATAAGGAAAAAGCATCAAGTTTCTCTTTCCCTCTCCCTCTCCCTCTCCCTCTCTCTCTCTCTCTTTTTAGTTAACCAATGAATTTTTTATGTAAAAGGTACCACCTTGAATAACTAAATTTACATAAAGAACAATGAAAAATGATATTTTTTTTAAAAAAAAAACCCCACAAGTCTTTTTTTAAAAAAGAAAAATTGTAAGAGTTTATTCTGGGAGAAGTTTTAGATTTATATGTGGCTCAATTTAGATATTCTTTTCCAGTGTTTTGTGACAATGAAAAAGGGAAAGTGAAGAAACAGCAAAGAAGAAAAAGGCTTCCAGTTGTTTTGTTGTGTAAGTTGCTTCCATTTCACTGTTAATGCAAGCATGTCTTTCCTCATCACCTACCTCTGACAACTCCACATCTTCTTCTTCCTACAACCAAGTCAATATTACCCATTTCTCACATAGAAACCCTACAAAAATCCCTTCTTTTCTGTTAGTTCATCACCCCTTTCTCTCCTCTCAATATTCTTTCCTCTGGGTTTTACCCCTTTCATCTTTATAAACACCCACACCCCAAAATTCTGCTCCTTTTCATTTTTTAGATTGATTTTTGTCAAATATTGCCTGAATTTGTTATCTTTTTTTGTCTGTTCGAAAACATGATATCCGGTTTCGGTGTTATGTGTGATGATTTGTCAAATGCAGGCTGTGTGTTGGAAATGTGATGGTTTGTTTATTTTGTATTAAGGTTTGTTGGTAGTCGGTGGACTTTGATTTAAAGCAAAACCCTTTGCTTTCCTTCTATCTTATTTTCTGGAAATTTGATTGTGGTTCAAGATCTGTTTTCTTAGCACTTTCTTTCTCATTTATCTTCCTATTTTTGCTTTCATTCTGCATTTTTTTACTGTGAAAATGATTTGGTTGGTATATTGAATAAACGCAAAACATGTTTGATTATTAGATGTAGGTTGTGGCTTTTAAGTTGTTTTAGTTGAACATGTTTCAGGCATCTTGGTGTTGGGTGAAGAATGGCCTCTGATCTGAACAAAACACTGTCAAAAGTGTACATCGGTCTGCAATTGTGGGTTCTTATTGTAATTGGCTTAGGAGTGGTGTTTTTAGTTATCCTTAGCATATCCCTATGGCTTAGTTTTCGGAAGAAGTCCAAAAGGGCAAATGTCATGCTTCCTCTAAGCCAAGCGCCTTGCATGTCGGAGGAAATTAAAGAGATAAGAGTTGATCAAGCTTCGGCAAATAATGGTGGTCTGAATACCGTTGATGAGAAATTCAGTGACAGAGATTCGGAGAAGGTTTTGTTTAATGTCGATAATGGAAATGATAGCTGCCAGTCGGGTTCTTTTAATCATATGGAGGACGATGTTAAAGGGTCTCAACAAGGAGAAGAGGGAGGCACTGGGCGGTATCTGCATACAAACGTT